TAGTACAATATCACAACCAAAACATTGAACACTGATTCAGTACAGAGAACATTTTCATTACCACAAGGTTCCCTATGTTGCACTTTGTAGCCATGCCCATTTCCCTCCCACCCACACTCACTCTCTACTACATGGCAACTACAAATCTGTTCTCTAGTCTATAATTTTGTCATTTCAAAATGTTACAGAAATGGAATCATATACCATGCAACCTTTTGGGATTGTCTTTTTTTGCACTCAGTGTAATTCTCTGGACATTCATCAGGGTTACTGTGTATCAATAGTTGGTTCCTTTTTATTGCTGAGTAGTATCATGGTAAGGGTGTACCACAGTCCATTTAACCATCCATCCACTAAAGGACACTTGGGTTGTTTCCACTTTGGAATATTATAAATAAAGCTGCTCTAAACATTTACGTAGCATTCTGCTGTGGGTTGATTGAATTGTGTCCTACAAAGTCCATATATTAGAAGCTTAATTCCCACTGTAACTATTGAGGGTGGGAAATCCTACTATGGCAATCGAAAGATGGGGCCTTACAGAGGTGATTAGATTGTAGGACTGTGCTGTATAGAATGGATTAATAATAGTGGTCAGGGGCATGGTTTGGAGGGCTTTAAAAGGAGAGTGAATGAAGATGTTAATCTCTCTCTGCTCTCTCTGCTTCCACCTTCTCCCAGTGTAAGACCCCTGGGTCACTGTCGCCAAGACTACCACCAGATGTGTTCCTTGGAATCTGGACTTTCCAGCCTCAGAAACTGTAAGCAATAAATTTCATTTTCTTATAGATTACCCAGTTCCAGGTATTTTGTTATAAGCAACAGAATGGACTAATATAAGCTCCTACCTTTTAAATATATTTATTTAACTATTTATGGATGAGACAAAATAAGGTCTAGGATTTATTTCAAAAAAATTCTAGACTAGAGAGATACCAAAAAATAAGAAGAAGAAGATTGCCAGGAGTTGATAAGTGCATTATACTATTATCTCTACTTCTGTACATGTTTAAAATTTTCCATAATGCAAAGTTTAAAAAAAGAGAGTAAGAAAAATTTATTTATCTGACCACTACACACCCACACACATAAACATACACACCTTCAAGTAAAATTGAAGGTATTCTTTTTATCTTGTGACTTTAGCCCATGTCAAGATCATAGGAATTCTTTCCCTAAAACACAGAGCCCCCACTTTCCAGTGATATTGTAACCTCACTATACCAATTTTTAAAAATCCAACCTAGGCATCTGTTAACTTTCTTCCAGAAGTTCTTTATTAGACTACAGGGTTGAGATAATATAGTCCACAATGTTGAACAAAGGCAGGTAGGTAATCACCATAATCGAATGCATGAGATTCATGAGTGGCTTGTCTTCAAAAGAGAGCATTCATGTCTGACATGAACAGGTCCTTATCATCAAGACAGATGCTGAGAGAACAGAAGTGTGATTACTAAAGATGAAGAGCAACAAACTATATGAGCATAATCAGGCCTGAAAATGAACTGAAATGCATTATATATTATGCAAAGACTGCTTTTGTTTTTAAGCCACTCTGGAGGACAGGATATTATTATAATGTTCATTCTGCAAGCTAATGATTCATTAGTATAATTCTGCAAAATGGTGTCTACTCTTCAGTACCACCAATATTCTATCAGCTCATTCTCCTCTAGTGCTGTATCATACCCTGCCCCTCCATCTCACTGAGGACACCTGATGACCCACTCTCCCAAAGGTCTCAAACAAAGAAGAGGATATAAATATCAACCCATTAACCAATCTGGGATTAAAAGCCAAGACCTCCAAAAGCAAGGTAGTGCAATGGCTACAAACAAGTTTCCCTTGCTTGGTCTTTAATGCCTGGACATGCACAGTGATGGGCAATTCCAAAGCTTAAAAAAAGTTTGTTATTAGAAGTGGGACACCTGTCCACAGATCAAATCTCAATAAGACAAACTCCAAGGGACTATCTAAATTTTATAGTTGTGTCATAGTTTAGTTATATCAAATATCCCTCCTACTAAGTAAGCCACACCCTTGATGTTAGAAATGGTAATACTTATTTTGATAGAATTTGATCTGTACGACTATACTATGATAGATAGGAAAAAGATGGTCCACTAACAGGCTGTCTGTGTGATACACTCAAATGCCTATAAATTGAAAATGATATCAGTAAATCCTATTAAAAACAATCACTGTACAGATTGGTTCATTTGATTGGTTTAAGAATTTAGGAGTTCTATCAGTGGAAAGAAATCTATTGACAACATCATGTTAGGAAATGAAGAAAACACAGTTGAATTCAAAATCTTGTTCCTATTCCCTGAGTCACAACAGAGATATATAGAATTAAAACACAAATGGCACAGACCACAAGGAATTGTGCTATACAGACTTGCACTGAGAGAATTAATAATAGGGCTGCTAGTGTCAGAAAAAGGAAAAGGAGAAGAATTGGGCTCAGGACTATTATGGAAAAGGAGCTGAGAAAAAGGTGCTAAAGTTAAATACACATATATTTTTGGATACTCTCTTCCTTTAACCTTTGCCATCTTCCTTGACTCTTACACCCAACATTTTCTGGATTCCATGGATTCTGACTCTACAGTATACATTTTTGGACAGTTCGTGGTCATTGACAAGACTTTGGAAGTTGAAACTTCCAGCACTAACCTTGGCATACTTAAAGATTAATCTAAAATAGTTTGCATAATAAAAAATAAATAAATAAAATAAAAATAAAATAGTTTGCATAAAATAAAATGTTCTTGCCAAAAATCTTTAGGATTCATTTGCTAATACATCACATTACCCTTCTTCATAGCAACCGCCAGCGCCTGGTCTACAGAAATTGGATTTCAGAGGAGGCCTGAAATCCAGAGTTGAGGTGGTTTCAGAGAAAGAGCATATAAAAGAACAGGTAGGAAATATACAGGCAGAATGAAGAGAGGAGGCATTCGACATGAAAAGAATTCCAAGAACAAACTGCGTAAGATGGATACAGGGAAATGAATAGCCATGTTTGGCAAGAGCTGTGTAGAATGGAGGAGTAGAAGATAAAGTTAAAAGGGCAGGTTGGAGCCAGGAAGTGGCAGCTGATGAAGCCCAGGTGAGATATTTAGACCACATCCCACAGGCCCTTGGAGAGCTATTAAAGGTTTAAGCAGAGGTAAGGAGTGATTAAGAAGATGTGACCAATAGACACATGAAAAAGTGCTCAACATCACTCAGCATTCGGGAAATGCAAATCAAAACCACTTTGAGATACCATCTCACTCCAGTTAGGATGCCTAATATCCAAAAGACTGAGAATGATAAATGCAGGTGAGGATGCAGAGAAAAAGGAAACTTCCTACACTGTTGGTGGGACTGAAAGATGGTGCAGCCTTTATGGAAAATGGTATGGAGGTTCCTCAAACAATTGCAGATAGATGTAGCATATGACCCAGCTATCCCACTGCTTGGAATATACCCAGAGGAATGGAAATCATCATGCCGAAGACATACCTGTTCTCCAATGTTCATTGTGGCACTATTTACAATAGCCAAGAGTTGGAACCAGCCCAAATGTCCATCATCAGATGAGTGGATAAGGAAACTGTGGTATATCTGCAGAATGGAATTCTATTCTGCTCTAAAAAATAGTTGAAATACTACCATTTGCAGCAACATGGATGGACTTAGAGAAAATTATATTAAGTGAAATAAGCCAGGCACAGAAGGAGAAATACTGCATGTTCTCACTTATTTCTGGGAGCTAATAAAAATAAATAAATAAATTTTAAAAAATAATAATGATTTTGCATCATTTAAAAAAAAAAAAAAACAAGATATGACCAAAGGTCAGGGGTAGGAAGGAAAGAAGCAGAAGACCAGAGATAAGAAGCTTTACTACTTGTTCCAGTGAGGTCTTACGGATCTAGGAGGGTGACAGTGGGCAGGGAAAGGAAGGATTAATTTAAGGGGCAGTGTGAAGGATACATATACTTAAAGCTAGTTTTGTCCTTGATTAAGAAAATGGTCACTTGCAGTCATTGTCAAAGAACTACTTATGAGATGCTAAGCATTCTTATATTGATTGAGAGGTAAACTGTCATTATTATGATCAAACACATAAGAGGGCATAAAAATTCTAGTGGCTGATAAACTCATTTTTAACAGAATCTTTCATTAAGCTTAACAGAGACTTGGAAAAAACAAGATTTTTTATATAAGTAAAAATTATTTTTAAGGAGATCATGATTGGTTGCAAGGTGATGAGTATTTTTAAATTTCTAAAATAATTAACTGCTGATTTTAGCAAGGCAATAATAATGACATATGATTGACAGATCTATTTTCTCTACTTTTGCAAATCTACTTTTTATATCTACTTTTACAGATCTATCTTCTCTACTTCTAATCACTACTGAAAAACTATTATTAATAAAAAGCTCATTTTTTTTTACAAATGCACCTATGAGTAAAACTGAAACATTACATACAAGCTAAATCACCTNTCTATCTTCTCTACTTCTAATCACTACTGAAAAACTATTATTAATAAAAAGCTCATTTTTTTACAAATGCACCTATGAGTAAAACTGAAACATTACATACAAGCTAAATCACCGTAGTATATATGCCAAATTAGTTTCTATTTTCATTCACTTAATGTATTTTTATTGAGCATGTACTATATGATAAGCATTGTGCTGGTGCTCGGTGTACAATGAAGAATAAAACAAACATGGTCTGCCCAAGTGGGTGCTCACAGCATAGTGGAAAAAATGAACATTAATTTTAGAAAATCATCCAAATATATGATTTTAAATTGTGATAAGCACTGTGAAGGAAAATGATAGGGTGCTATGAAAGCTTGTAATAGGGAGGCTAACCCAAGACTGGGTCTGGGAAGGTATTTTTAAGGAAACTGTCTTTGAGCTGAAATCTGTAAGGATGCGAAGGAGTGAAATAAAGAAAAGAATGGGGGAGAGAGAACTAGATGAGAAAATGAGCAGAGAGAAAGAAATGAAAACAGTAAAACGAAAATACTCTCTAACCTGCTGGGTAATAGTGTCCCATGGACCCTGCAGCAGCCGTGCCTGATGGCACTCATGGACTCCTTCCCATATGTCCTTCAGAGTTAAAGGTCTCCCATCTGTGAAAGTGCATGGTAAAGACTGAATTAGTAATCCATGTGACATAATGTGCTTGGTGTCGATCTAAAACTACTGGAAGAATATTATGGATTTTT